TGGAAAGGTGTTCCGAGGAGCTGTACAAAATGTACAAAATGCTTTTATAGGCAGAAGGGGCAGAAATAAGAAGTGTCTAGCAAGGAGTGTTTCAGGCAAGGTCACCTTTCACTAGTGGAAGGCAGGGCTCTATCAAGTAGTGTTCACCAGCCCTGACCAGGTAACTCCATATTGACTGGTTCCCAGGAGGGGCGGAAGCTGCAGTTAGGTTAGGTATTAAGTCTTGGTTTGCTGATGGGGCTTAGCACAGTGACTCCATTTTGGATCTGTTGTTTCTGTTTTAACAACAAAAATTGTTTTTTTAGGTAAGAAATCTGTCAGTGTTTTTCTTCCTGGCTTCTGTGGTGGGGAGGGGAGCTGTTGCGGGGAGGCGGGTGCAGTCCTCTGGGGAAAGGGTGGGTGAGCAGAAGACTGAAGCCCGTGAAGAACCACTTCCTCAGGGAAGGTTTCATCTGTGAAAATATCAACAGTTGCAGGGAGCACTGTGTTTCCCAACAGCGGGCCTGAGCTTGCCTGTTGGAGCCCAGCTAGGGTGAGGGTGAAGCCAGACCTATTGTCCTGGGCTGAGTCTTGCCTTGTGCCAGTGACTGGAAGATCACAGAGATTTGCTGAGACTCCCTCCTTTGTGCTTCTTCTTGGGGCTGGCACCCGCCACTTTCCTTCAGGGTCCAGTCTCTCTCCCCAGCAGCTTGGAATACAATGCCTCAGATCAGGGGCCCTGCAGGGCGGGGGGAAGGGAGCAACCAGCTGTGTGCCCACAGCAGGAACATGCCTCCTGCCTGACCCTCTGGTTGCAGAGCTACTTCTCCTTGCCCCACCTCTCCCATCCCCGACCTTCTCTCCTACCCTTTTCCCCAACCCCTCATCTCCTGTCAAGGGCAAAGGCTTCCTTTGGGGAAGTGGAAAGCATGGGGTAATGGGCTCTATGGGAATAGGGAAGGAGCAAAGAGGAGCCAGGAGAACGTCTCCCCTAAGGGGCATGGATCATCTCCGGGTCCTGAGAATCATCACCTTTCCCCTGCCGCCCACACACAGCAGTCACAGGAAACTGAGATGCTCTTGGCTCCCCTGGTCCCAGCTTTCACCTCCCCATTTGGGAGGGGCAGGAGTGCTGGGTGGGCAGGGGAGGAGCTGAAAAGTCCCTGGAGGAAACTGTGGTCAACTAAGCACTGTCCCACTCTTTTTTCTCTCTCTCTGCACACTGTGTCTCTGCAAACTGTCATTTCCTGGGTGTTGGTTTTACCTCTCTTCCCCAGAAGGATGGGCTAAAGACAGATGACAGAGTCAGAGGGTCATTTGGGTCCTGACCACAGTCCTAAGTCCCATTCAGCCCCATAGGCCTTTTATCCAGGTCTAAGTGGTGGGCCAGGGATGTGTGTCCACACTGGGAGGTCTTTAGGGTGCTGGAGGTGAAGGACGATGGGAGGTGCAGGGAGGGTCTCGGGCAAAAGTGGCGAGAGGAGAGCTGAGAGCAGAGGGAGGAGAGCGTGCCGGGTCCTCAGAGGGGCTGGTGGGAGAGGAAGGGGCTGGCTCAGGTGGGCAGAAGCAGCCTCAGTGCTGCCCCCCCGCCCCGGCCCATACCTTAGTTCCCTCTGTGGCCCAACGTCCTGAGGCTTGTGACATGTCACTTGAAAAAATAAGTAGATGAAAGAATCTAACAGATTTTCCTTTAGTGAATTTCAGAGGTTTTAGAATCAGGAAAATATTGATGTTTATACATAATTTACAAAGGAAAGAGAAAAAAACCCCAAGAAACCTGGTGTGATATGTGTGAGATTCTAGACGCAGCCCTTGTAGAGATCCGCCAACTGGTGTCAAGTCCAGGGCCTCATAGAGACCTGAGCACGTTGCTGGGACTGTGGTTCCGATGGTGGCTTCATTTGCATCTGATGACACCCAGGTAGAACCCTTGGGTGTATCAGTCATCAGGGCTGCTGGGGGGGGGGCGGTGGGGGTAAGTCAGCCCTTGGAAGGGGTTGCATTTTTCTCATCAGTGGGCCTCAAAGAGTGCTTTATTGTAACCTCTCCATGGGAATGGGGTCTGGTGGGGGGGTGGGGAGGAGGCATTTGTCTAATTTCCAGAGAGGAGCAGGATGTGCCTGCGGCAGACAGGTCACTGGAGCTCAGAGTCCAGGTACTCCACTCCACTTCTTTATTTTTAACTCACTGTATTCTTTATGAGGAAGTATTTTAAAATAAATTGCAGATATCCTGACATTTCACCCTTAAATAATTCAGTATGCAGCTCTGAAAAAAAAAATAAAAGAGCTTCTTGCTACATAGTAGATTAACATTATCATAGCCAATGCAATTAAAAACCATTTTATAGGCTGTACTACCCAGTCCATATGAGCAGAAATTCTGATCTCTGCAAGCGAGACCGCCGATTTCCCCAGAATGCCCCTCCTTGGACCTGGTATGGAGCCTGGTCCTCGAAGGAACCCAGAATGGAGGCTGAGGACTACAAAAACAGGAGGTGGATTTCTGAGGAAAAGATCCCAAGCCTGGGAGCCTGAATTGTCCCTGGGTACCAGCATGCTGCCAGACTCTTAGGGTGGGACAGGGGCTTCAGCCCCTTCCTGGGACCTTGTGTCCTCGCTAGGGAGCTCATGAGGTCTTGGCTACTCCAAAGACTAATGTGACTCCATAGCAAAGCTCCTCATTAAGATGCGTGTTTTTTCCATACCACCAAGCAATTAATGCAATTCTTCATGGACACTGGGTGCTCCACAAGTGGAACTTCGTTCTGACACTATGGACCTGGGGTCAGCATCAGATCCCACAGGTTAAGGGCTTGGTCCCAAAAGACTGCCCCCACTACAGACCCCAGTCACAAGTCCCAGGTTGTCACCTGTGCTTCTAACCAGCTACAAATCGGGGGTTCCCACGACCCCCTCCTTGGGCTCCACTAATTTGTAGAGTGGCTTACAGAACTCAGAAAACTTGTTGACTCACTAGATTACTGGTTTATTATAAAGGATTACCAGTTTATTACAAAGGATATTAAAGTGTATGAGGCAACAGTCAGAGGAAGCAATGCATAAAGCAAGTTTCAGAGTGCAAGAGCTTCTGTCCCAGGGTTGCTTGGGGCCTGATACAGGGGCACGTGGAAGCATTCACGTTCCCTGATGTGGATGTGCCGCAAGCACTGTCCTTCCTTGGATTTTTTGGAGGCTCCCTTACATAGGCACCATTGATTAAATCACTGGTCATTGGTGATTGATTAAACTTTCAGCCCCTCTCCCCTCCTGGGAAATCAGGGACTGGGATTAGAAGTTCCAACCCTCTAACCACAGTTGGTTCCCCTGGCAACCAGCCCTCATCCTTAGGGGGTTTCCAAACGTCAGCACATTAACATAAACTCAGAGGTGGTGGCCAGGGGCTTGTTATGAATAACAAGTCACCCATGTCACCTTTATGGCTCTGAAGCCATTTTGGGAACTGGGGACAGAGACCAAATATGACAAAAGATGCTTCCATCTCAGGAGCAAAAGAGGCTTTGATTGGGGCACCCGGGTGGCTCAGTCGGTTAAGTGTCCGACTCTTGATCTCAGCTCAGGTCTTCATCATGGGGTCCTGAGTTCAGGCCCCATGTTGGGTTCCATGCTGGGCATGGAGCCTACTTTAAAAAAAAAAAAAAAAGAGGCTTTGATCGCTCAGGAGATTCCAAGGATTTTAGCAGCTGTGAGCAGGAACCATGGATGAAGACCACAATAAACATGTATTATAAATTGCAATATCACACTCATCCTTGCTGGGCTCCTTCTGCCACTCTCTGGTGCTCACCAGTGTTCCTCTTCTCCCATCCCCTCCCCAGCCACTCCCGTCCGACTTTGTTCCCACGCCATTTCTCCTTCCCTCTGTCCACACTGGAATCTTCTATGGGGGCCCCTCCACCTATAGACTCTGAGTTCAAGGGCTGCTGGCTCCTTTTGTCTGTTTGTATCTCATGGTGCTCTGTCCCTGGCAACCCAGCCAGGTGCAGGAAAGTTCATCTCATGCCCATCGGCTTAGCCTCCTGTGGAAGGGGCTTTAGAACTCGTCTTCATCCCCTTCGTTTTCCAGAGAAGAACAGAAGTTCAGAGAGGGGCAATGACCTGCCTAAGCTTATACAGGGCTGAGCTGAGACAATTAATCGGGGTCTTATTTCCAAGCCTTGCTCACCCTGTGCCCCTCTGCTCACTGGGCTTATATACAGTGCCCTTCCCTGCTTAGAACAGCACTGATGGGGGTTTCTGGGCATCCAGGGGCCAATGGGAGAACTGAGGATAAGAAGGGAGATGATGGAGAAAATAGGGCAAAGTGGAGAAGTTCGTTCCCTGGAGATCAAATGTGGGAATGCAGAACAGTTTTAGAATTTGAAGAAAACTTAGGCTGGCTCAGGTGGAGCAGCGTGTGACTCTTGGTCTCAGGATCGTGAGTTCGAGCCCCATGTTGGGTGTAGAGATTACTTAAATAAATAAAACTTTAAGAAACAAAATAAAACAAACAAAAAAAGAATTTGAAGAAAACTTAGGAAACAATATATAATCACATAATTTTATAATTTGCAAGGCTTGTCCATTTGCATTGTTTATCTAAGTCCTCCCAATAGTGTGGTGGTAATATTTATCTCCCTGCAGGTGAGGAAACCAGTCTGGAGAAGGTCAATGACTTACTGAAAGTGGCAGGTAGCTTTACTGGCATCTGGACTCCTGAGTTCCATCAGTGTTTTCCACTGCATGTCCCACCTGCAATCAGAGCAGGAATCCAGGAGGGGGAGGACAGGCACTGTGTCAGAACAGCACCCAGATGCAGAGGCAACCCCTTTCCCATCCCATTACACTGGTTTGGTCACCACAGCCTCCCAGCAAGGAAGAAGGCTACCCCTGGCCACTGCTGGCCCGAAGAGAGTTGTCAGTGAATATGCATGTGTTTTGGGCCTAGGTTGGTCAGTTTCTTCACCCTGATTCTCTCCTGTTTTCCTCTTTGCTGTCCACCAAGAAAAGGAGCCGACTCCCTGTAGGCTCTCTGTGCCTTCAGCTGAAATTAGCTCTGAGTTGCCCCTGATGTGGAACAGGTGAGCCCTCTTCTTACTATACTTCATTCCCTCTTAAAGCTCAGCATTTGTTCATTGTGTCCTCCATATATCTGATGCTACTTAGTAATCCAATATATATCATCCTACTTAGTAATCCAAATAGCTTGGCTATTATCAGTTCTCCCTTTACTGCTGAGGAGCTTGGGCATAGAGACTTAAAGAACATTCTCCAAATTCACTGAGCCAGTAGGGGAGAAGGAGAAGGAATCCTTGCAGTGTACTGGCAGAAGGTTTAGCAATATTGCCACTTGCAGTCATGTGGAAAGTAGAAAAAATACGTAACGACCTGGGTGGTATAGCTAAGGTCTCCGGGCGAAGTGTTGAGGATGCTGTCTGGTTTCCTCTTGTGGCTTATTGGAAACTGTGAGTGCAGGGAGGTAAACTATAGGCAGGACTATTCAACACAAAGGAGCTGGATCCTGATGGCTTTGAAAATTCTCAGGATCTCCACACAGTGAATGATGCTGAAGTGAAACCCAGGGCGCTTTCAGGAAAATATGGTCTAAAGATGAAACCAAGGGTGGCTGTGGAATCCCTTGTTAGGACCTGAGAAAGATAAAGGTAATGCTTTAGACAAAGGCCCCTTAAGGAGCTTGAGGGTGTGTGCCTCATGGATTCCTTCAATGAAACTCAAGGGCTTCTATGATGCTAAAAGATATGACCCCTCAGCTTCTCAGCAGAAGCCCAACGTAGGGAAGAGACCTTATCTTGAAGAGATTTGTGAGTATGGCTTAGCGGATTTCAATAAGAGTCACAGGAGACCCACACATTTTTTAGAGAGCGATATTCACAAGACAGCTTGGACTGAAAGGAACAGAGTATAAAATTTAAAAAAGGCCTTTGCATCCTCCCAATTCTACTGGAAGGAATCAGGTTGAGAACACTGTGAAGATGTACATACAGGCTGCCTTTCATGGAAAGTGAAGGATGCCTCAGAGTGCAGACCCAGGAGCCCAGCATGAGGGGCCAAGAGCCACGATGAATCATTCCCAGGTAGAAGCAAGGCAGAGTCCAAATCAAGGAATTTCCAACATCTGTCCAGCAGAGCTCCAGTTTTTCCATGGATCAGTGCTCTGTTGGCCTCCCAGGGATATCTCTTGTGCTAGCCCAGGCCTGTATCACCACTGTATGTTGGGTTTGTATCTGGCAGATAACTCATCTCTTCCATCCACAGGTCTTCATATGGAGAACTAACTGCACATGAAGAGCTGTATGTAAGGAACTGCACCGAAGGAGCCTCATCCATACCTGGGCCTGATTTAAGTGACAATCTTCTGGACCTTTAAGCGACAAACTTCTGGACCAATTTGCCAACACCATATTCAAGTGAGATTTGCAAAGGCTTCTGGAGGGGATTGTGTGTATCTTTCTTCTCTCCATTTCTTTATCTTTCATTTTTACCTTTTGACTCCCTTCACCCGTGAGTGTATTTTGGATTGAGTGTATTTTGAATGTGGGAAAAACCTCAATAATTTGTGGCCAGAGGAGGTACTGCGGGGGTTCCATATCTCTTCTTTCAAGAGATGGAGCCCCATCCCTCTCCCTCTGAGTGTGGGCTGGCTCCAGCGACCAGCTTCTGATGAAGTGTGTGTGACTTCGGAAACTAGGTTATGAAAGGCACTGTGACTTCCTCCTCAGTCTTTCTTGGATCAGTCACTCTGGGGAAGTTAGCTCCCACATCATGAAGTAAGGTCCACATAGTGAAAAACTGAGGTCTCGTCCTGGTAACCATGTGGGTAAGCCATCTTGGAAGTGGTCCGGTTGTCAAGCTTTCCGTTGACCCATTTCTTGCTGACATCCTGACTGCAATGCATGAGAGATTCTGAATCATGAATACCAGTTAAGATGTTCCCAAATTTCTGACTCCCCCCTCCAGACCTATCTTTGAGATAATAAATATGTCATTTGTTGTTTTATGCTACTAACTTTTCGGGTAACTTATTACACAGCATCAAATGAGTTGGGAGGAAAATGACAAGATTTTGTTGTTACTGTTGTAAGCCAAGGGGAAAAAAGCATTTCAAGAAGGGAGGAGTGGTGAGTCATATCCAACGCTGCTCATCTTTCCAATATGATGAGTTTTGAGGACTGACCTCTGGAGTTAGTCACTGGAGACTGGAGGAAAATGTTTCAGGGAGTGGTACAAACAAAGGCCTAATTGGAGTGGGTTCAAGAGACAACAAATAGAGAGATATTGGGGGCTGAGAAAAACTTCTTTAATGGGTTTTGTCATAAAGGGCAATAAAATATGGAGCAGTAGGTGGAGGTGCTGTGGGGTCAAGAGAGAGTTTTTAATACATCATAGCCCATTTATATTCTGGTTGT